TATTAAATTTTCAAGCTTTTCTGCCTAACAAATAAATTTTTATCGATATTAATTTTAAAAAAACTAATAATGATCGAAAATTTCACATGCCTATGAATAGTTCAACTTAAGTCGAAAATTTTTGAAAATTGCATGGTGAATAGAATATACTCATCTAAACATTCAGTGAAAATTTCATGTATCTAAAATTACATCAAAAACCAAAATCGATTTGGTCGAAAAATGAGTGTGCTTAAAATTTTCTGTTTTCCCCTTAATTTTTAGTTTGTTTTTCTCGATTATTTAATCGATGATAATTTTTTACTTTTGACCTCCCAAAGTACCAACTAGATTCACTGTCTGATTGAACGAAGTACTGAAGTCAAAAATTGAAGCACTTTTACTGCCCCAAAACGTGATGACAGACACAAAAAAAAAAAACACACATCATGGTAAAATCAATACATTCATTGCTCCGCTTAGGATCTAAAATTATCCTATGAGACATACCTGAGGTGATTTTGCATACCAAATGTATGGTTAGTTTCGGTTTAAATTGCTCTAGCAAGTGAGTGACTACTAGATTCAACGTACATACATTTAACACCGGTTTATCATGTTTGGCCCAGTAGTCTATATACGTCACATCTGCTTTTATTTCTAAAACCAAATTATATGTTATATTTGTTAGAAGTTCAATTGTTATGTTTTCAGGAAGTTTTACGATCTCATGGATTAAAAAATGAAAAGGATTTAAGAAAATTAATTACTGATCTTCAAACTAGAATTGATAGGGCGAAATCAAAAATTGCAGCTGCTTCTCATAATGCTTCCAATATTGAAGACCACATAACAGAGGAGCCTAAATTAAGACTTTTTAAAAACAAAATTCAATTACCAAAAGAAGAATCTATATCAAAAATTTGGCTTAATGATATATATAAAAAAAGGCAAGATATAATTGATAAAAAAGCTGTTAGAAAACAGCGTAGACAAGATATGGCTAAGAGAGGAACAGCTGCATCTTTAGAACGAATGCGATTAATTAGCCAGCTAGCAAGGAAAGATAAAAGAGATGATGATTTTGGTAGCAGAGATGAAGATTGGGATGTTTACAAAGTCATAAATAAAGTATGTTCATTGTTCATATTCTATTAAAAATATTTTTATTTTTTATCGTTATTTTTAGTCTATTCTATATATTATTTTAGTTTATATTTAACTGCTATAAATTATCATTAGATTGATTCCTCTTTAGACACGCTCCTACAAGATGTATTATTTTAGTATTTTAGTAGATTTCTTAAAAATAATTACATTTTGTTCTAAAGTCACATCTTAGTACTAAACATGAATTTCAAGTGTAATAAAGATTTTAGAGTGAAAGGTTAATTATAAATAAATAATTTTTCTTAGTAATTCTAAAATTATTTTTGTTGAAATAAATATTTTTGAAGTATCAACAAATACTAAAAACATACACAATCCAGTTTTAGTTTACAAAATATATTACAATCAATTCTTTTCAATTTAGAGATTTAATAAAAATATATTTATTGAAAATCAATGCATTTTGATACAATGTATGGCTCAACCTTTATATTAACCAAACTAAAATACATACTGGATAAGTAATAATTTATCACAAATTTTATCATACTACTATAATTTTATATTTTATTATTATTATTGTTATATTTATATTTATAATAAGTAGAAAAATTTCATAAATAGGTTTTGACTACAAAAATGTTAATATGTAMATTTTAGGAAGGTGGTGATACAGACAGTGAGGAGGAACAAGAAAAAATATCAGAGCTTGAAGAAATTTTACGATTTTATGATCCAACATTTGTTAGTTCTAACTCCAATGAAGAACAAAATCCAAAAGAAGCTCATCAATTACATTTTGGTATAGAGCGGATGAGATGTACAGAGGTACTTTTTCAACCATCAATAATTGGTTGTGGTCAAGGTGGAATAACTGATACTATAGAATTCATTTTGAAAAAATATGATGCCCAAACAGCTAATGATTTGGCAGAAAATGTTTTCTTAACTGGTGGTCCAACTAAATTGCCCTATTTCAAACAACGAGTGTATAGAGACCTCCGAGAAATGAGACCATTGGAATCTAATATTAATGTAAAATTGTCTGACTCCCCTTTTCTCGATGCTTGGTATGGTGCAAAAGAATTCGCAAATAAGCAAGATTTTCATAAATATTTGTTAACACCCGAAATGTATGCAGAAATGGGTGGTGATTATTTTATTGAAAACTCTTGTTCCAATATGTATTGTCCACTTCCTGAAGCTGTTCAAGAACCTGAGGGATTAAGTGAACAAAATACAGAAATTTAACTATTTTTAATACATTAAGATTAGTATGTAATACATATACATAATTTATTTCTTATCAACTATAATTTATGTTATTGTACAAAATTAAAAATTAAAAATTTATAAATAAATTATAAACTTATTTTATTTTATTTTTTTATACATATTTTAATAAAATAAGTGGTTTTGTAATTATGTCTTTCTATTTAAGTGCATTATTCAATAATTTATAATTCTACGATATTATTATAATACAATTTTGAGTTTAAATTAGAGTTCAATATAGATATAAAAATATAAAATCATAAGTTAAATAATGTGCATATAACATAATYTTGTTATGTGTTGAATATTTTATGTTTTGGGGTTTAAATACAATTTTAAGTTGAACATTATTTAAGACAAGAATAGAGCATTTAACATAATACAAGAATAAAAACATTTTGTATAATTTAAATGTAAATTTAATAAAACACAACGAAACAAAACATATTATCATAAATTTTACTTCTAATTTTTATTTGTGTAATTATTTTTAATTTATATCTCATCCTCCTCCTTCATTAGTTTKCCACTGGTCACAATACACAATTTTAAGTAGATGTGTTAGAATGCTACTTTAAAAATAATACTCAATGGGTCAATATCATATCCAATTAATAGTCATAAAATATTTTTTGGATACATTTAGCACTATTCCGAGTATCCCACAAAGAGGCAATTCTTAATATCCACCAAAAATTATTTTGTTTTATTTTCGTTTTCATATTATTAAAATGTATCCAAATTAAATTTAGCTGAATTCAATTTTATAAATGTATGTAATTTATACATTTATGTGAAATATGTTACTTATCCATTATTYTCAGATGAGATTATGATGTACTTACTATATTTTATTTATGATCATTGTCAGACCAAGTTTAAAGTCCACAAGGTCAACTGATCTACAGTTATAACTTTAAATTACACTTTAAAATTACAAACTAAGTACATAACATTTTGTTTTTATTTGAAAAATATATGTACAATTATAGATACTGTTGTTAACCCTTTTGCTAAGGGGCTAAATTTTTTTTCCATGAAACTATAATAATTACTCTATTCATAAATAAGTGTACTTAATTGAGTTATGGTTATGGTACTTAAAAATACTGTTGGTCAGTTTAACATTTTGATCCTGAATCCTGATACTAAAATATACCGTTGGTAATCTAGCATTATTTTCATAAAATCTGCAAAAAAATTCGCAAGAGAAATCTTCATAAACTATAATATTATGTTTAAGTACCTATTAAATAACACAAATATATCTAAGTATGTATATATCCATTTTAGATAATCACCTAAATTTAAAATCTCAAACATTTTATTTCTATATTCATTTTTAATTTAAAAAAGCGGGTAAGTCGTGGATGACGCTTTGCTGTACAGTAGGTTACAAGTGGGTTACTGTAATGGATAGAATTAAATTTGAATCCAATGATATTATATTATCATTGTATACGAAAAACGATTCTGTGCGAAGACGGTTTATCTGTCTAGAATATATTATAGATTATTAAAAATTTTCAAATCTTAGATTTAAATAGAAAAATTTTTATGAATTTCTAGTTTAAAATAATTTGCGAATTTTCATGATTTTCGTGATTTTTACGCATGTTGACAAAATTCAAACATTGAATGCTTGTATAAAAAAATTGTGCTAATATATTTCTTTTATTTTTCACCTGCAATTGTAAAAATATGTTAGGAGTCTTATATAAAATTCTAAATTCTAAGATATAAAAGGAAAATTTTTAATGAATTTCTAGCATAAAATAATTTATGAATTTTCGTGACTTTTACGTATTTTGTCAAAATTCAAACTTTGAATGCTT